CAGCTCAGTTCATGATCCCAGGGTCCCAGGATTGAGTCCCCCACTAAGGCTCCCAGCTCAGCAGGTAGCCTGCTTTCCTCTCTTCTTTGAACCCTCTCCCCTACTTGTGCTCTCTGTCTCTCAAACAGATAAAATCTTAAAAAAAAAAAAAAGACTTCCTTAAACTGAATTAAAGGCTTAAGTACACAAGGCAAAAGGGCAGACAGGGTAGAGGGCAAGGTGCCTGACCTACCAGAGCTCTGGAAGTTCATATACTAACACGCTGGGGATGGTGTCTGTGATCTTCCTTTGAACTTTAAATTTTTATCTGGCCCCCCAAAGCCACGTATGAGTATCTCCCATTGAAAATATAGCATACTTAAAATTTCAGCATTTTGGGAATAAGGATGACATTTATTTAACTACTAAGAAAGCAGTAACATTTTTATAAACATATGTTACGATGAGAGCAGGGGCATCTGAGTTACAGCTGACATTACAAGCAGTTTGGGACTTCCAGTTTTCTGGGGAGAGGGCTGCCCACAGGGAAGCGTTGGTTTAGTGACAAAGAGCGCAAACAGGGGCACCTGGGTGGCTCAGTGGGTTAGGCCTGTGCCTTTGGCTAAGGTCATGATCTCCAGGTCCTGGGATCGAGCCCCACATCGGGCTCTCTGCTCGGCGGGGAGCCTGCTTCCCACCCCCCCCGCACCTGCCTCTCTGCCTGCCTGTGATCTCTCTCTTTCTCTGTCAAATAAATAAAATCTTTTTTTTTTTAAAGAGTACAAACACTAAAACCAGTTTTTCCAGGTATGAGGACCAGTTTTGCTACCTTGGGCAAGTTGTTTTAAGTTCTCTCTCTTCTTTTTCTTTTCTTTTAGGTTAATCAGTAAAGCCAGGCAGGTGGAGAAGGAACAAAGACATCTGTAACTGACTGTGATCAGTTATGACCAGCCACATTCTCCTTTTTTTTTTTTTTTCATTGTGAGACAAGGGTAATAAGAGCACCTAGCTTACAGATATCCTCCTCCATGGGCCTAACCTTGCTTTGTAATGATATATGTGATTATCATTTTTCCTACGCTCTAGGCTACATGACCTGAGTCTGTCCCATTATTTTAGCTCCAGTGCCTGGTCAGTGTCGACAAATATTTGTTAAACAAATGAATAATAATGCCAACAAGTTATAGGATTTCAACAATTGGATCTTTTTAAAAAAATTCATATATATATATCTATATTTATTTATTTATTTATTTGAGAGAGAGAGCATGAGCAAGGGGAGGGGCTTAGGGAGAGGGAGAAACTGACTCCCTGTTAAGCAGGGAGCCTGATGCGGGGCTCGATCCCAGGACCCTGAGATCATGACCTGAACCAAAGGCAGATGCTCAACCCACTGAGCCACCCAGACACCCCAGGTTTTTGGTTTTTAAAATTTGCTTTGGTTTGGATTTTGGTTTTGTGTTTTGGGGGGATGATTGGTTTGGTTTGGTTTGGCTTGGTTTTGTCTAGGAGTACAAACATTTTTGCTTAATAGACAGGAATGTGGGATTTAATCAGTTTAAGATGATGAACTGAGAGCTAAACTTTTAGCTAACTGCTAAACTTTTACTTTTATAAATGCAATATAAGGAGGCAAAGTGACCTGACAAACCCTTTTTAAAGTCTTTTCTTTGAAGTCTGGAAATTTATAGAATAGACCTGGAGGGAAATCAGAAATAATTTTTAAATTGAAAAGAGTTCATTGAGAACAAATTCTTTTCTCATAACTACAAAAAGAAATTGGTTAGGGTTTAGTGCTTAAAAAGTTCAGCAATTATAGCCAAGTTAATATTTTGTTTTTGTTTTCCTTTAAAGGGCAAATTTTAAAATAGAGGTGACTTAAAACATTATTTTCTGGCCCTGCCTGGGAAGCAGGGAGGCAAGTTTCAATTAAGATAGTCAAGTTGAAACCTAGAATTTCTGTGGTATTTGGGACATGATTCAGAGTTATTAAAAGATAAGAGTTATGATGTACTGGCATTTAAAGATCCAGCTGGGGGCGCCTAGATGGCTCAGTCATCTCAGGTCATAATCCCAGGGTCCTTGGATCGAGTCCTATGTTGGGCTCCCGGCTCAGAGGGCAGCCTACTTCTCCCTCTCTCTCTGGCCCTCCTACCCGCTCATGCTTGCTCATTCTCTCTCTCTCAAATAAACAAATAAAATCTTAAAAAAAAAAAAAAAAGAACGCTTTTGGAGTCAGTGGAGCAGACGGCACAGATTGAACTTGACTTGCCCAGGAAACAAAGTCCTAAAGAGAGAGATGGTAATTCTCTCCATGCAGGAGAAAAGGGGGAGCAAGGCCTCTCCAGGGCTATTGGTGACAATAAAATAACCTCCTTTTTTCTTTGTATTCTTTTACTACCTTGTACTTGGCAACAAGATTGTGTATCACAGACGCAGTAAATTCAGCTCAATTACTACAATCCATGTGGGTTATCAAAGTGCTTGTTGATCTATGTGACTCTAGGGGTGGGTCATAACCTTGAGATTATGAAGGGAATTGAGGGAAGAAGGAAAAGTCAGGGATCTTCTGGGGAAAGCTAATGGTCACCTCCACACCCCCCAGGGGTAGCAATCCCTTGTTTGAGAACTGGCTCTCAGTTGACATTCTTAGGACTCTGACTAGCAGGACACCAAAACAACCCAATGGGCTTGGCACACACAATCAAACCGTAGAATAATGTTTTTTTTTTTTTAAAGATTTTATTTATTTACTTGAGACAGAGAGGGAGAGAGAGTGAGGGCGCACAAGCAGGGAGGAGGGTCAGAAGGAGATGGAGAAGCAGGCTCCCCACTGAGCAGGAAGCCCGATGATGCAGGGCTCGATCCCAGGATCCTGAGATCATGATCCGAGCCAAAGGCAGACGCTTAACCGACTGAGCCAGCCAAGACCCATAGAATACTGTATAAAGCTGAAATACAGTTTATTTACTGGCATACAGTAAGAGTTGGGTATTTATGTCCACTGTATTAGTTTCCTAGGCCTAGTGTAATAAAGTATCACAAGATGGGTGGTCTAAAACATCAGAAAGGTACTGTGTCACAGTCTTGGAAACTGCTAGTCCAAAACCAACGTGTCAGCAGGTCCATGCGGGACTCTGCTTCTGTTTCATGTGGCTGTTTTATCCTTGTGTATCTCTGTCCTCTTCCAGTAAGGACACCGCTCATGTTGGACTAAGAGTCCATTCTCCTTGGACCTTATCTTAACTAGTTACCTGTGCACCAACTCTACTTCCGAGGACGTTCCGTTCTGAAGTGCTAGGGTTTAGGACTGTTGTGGGCCACATTTCAACCCATAACGGTATTCTTGGAACTCTTCTTTAAGTTGTGTGAGTTTTTGTACTAGGAATTCACTGACCTTTTAGTCTTATTTGTTACTCTTTTAAGACTAAGGAAACACCGGGTCTGGTCATTTTTAGCTGACAAAGCAAATATTTGATAATTTATTAAACACAGAGGCTGATCTACAATTCCTGCAATTTCTGCTAAGATAGAGGATACTAAGTAACTAGGCACCCAGAAGATTTTTTTTTCAAGGAACACCTCAAAAAAATGTGAGATTGGTGATAATTTAAAACTTTACAATCTAGGGGTGCCTGGGTGGCTCAGTTGGTTAAGGATCTGCCTTCAGGCTCAGGTCATAATCCCAGGGTTTTGGGATCGAACCCCATGTCCGGCTCCCTGCTCATCTGGGAGTCTGCTTCTCTATCTCCCTCTGCCCGCTTCTCTGCCTACTTGTGCTCTTGCTCTCTCTCTCTCTGTGTCAAATAAAAATCTAACAAAACAAAACAGAAACCTTGCAATCTGAGCAAGATCTTCAGCTCTTCAGGGCCATCCTCTCCCTCCTACACTCTTCTTTGTTCCATTCTCCCCCAATTGAGTTTTTTCATCTCCAAGTATGACCATTTTTGGTAAAGATGCGATACTCATGATTATCATAATTTTTTAGACATAAAAAATTGAGGTATAATTACATAATAAAATGAGAATGGCATACAAATGTGTATTTTAAAATAAAAAGATTAATAAACTTCATAATTTGGTCTCAACTTTATTTTCCTAGATTCATTTGCTTTCCTCCTGTCTACCATGCTCACCCTTACAGAGCTTTTCTTTATTTTCAAAGTCTCTCTAGTGCTGTGTTCTACTCAGGAAGTCTCTCCCCACTGGAGAGCTCCTACGTCCAAGTCCCAGTTACTTCCTGGAAGCTTTCCTCCAACATCCTTGGAGCAACGCAGCTCTTTTGGCACAGTGTATGTGGTTCTCATTTTTCCCTGTTCAATTATTAGTTTTAGCTAGTTGTGAGTTCTTTCTTCAAGACAGAGGCGGGGGTGTGACGTAGCTTGTCTTTCCTTGCATTGAGAGTGTTTAGCCCAACGCATGATACATAGTTAAGTGTTCAATAAATTATACTGCAATTAGTTGACAGTTAACACGCAAGTATGTACTTCAGAGTTTTCACAGCGCGTTGGCACGATCTCATTTTCCCCCTACAACAGGCTTATAAAGCAGCAATTACTACCACCCTATCATTTTCTGTTTGTGGAGCCGAGAGACTCAGAGGTTATTCATCTTGCCCAGAGCCAGTAAGTAGCAAAACGTGGCTAGAACTTGGTCCCCCGACTCCAAATTCCCCGCTCTTGACACCGCCACAGGTTGAAGCTAGCGCCGACTCCGCGCTACGACTTAAACTTGAGAGACCTCGCCGGCCGCATTTCCGGATATCGGGCTTGGAGATGCGCCCAGACCCCGCAGGGCTTAACAGTTTGGGGCTCCGGCAACATTGACTGCATGGGACCTTGGACTACAACTCCCAGAGAGCCCTGGGGCAAACCCTCAGGTGACTGGTTGAAATGGATCCGCCAATACAGCGCGACGTGCTCGTACAGACCAATCATAGGTCGGAAGGGGCAGGACCTCCCACGCAGAGGCTAGATTGAGCGGAGACGCTAGCAACGTTGTCAGCTGTCCCAAAACCCAAGGAGCTTGAGATCCTCGGTCCCGCGCCTCGAGCGCCACGGCGTCCTCCTTTTCGGGTCCAGTCCACGCCTTTCCCGCGACCCGCGTAGGGTCGCGCGTGTGTGGCCGCCAGCTCTGCGCCGAGGACAGGCCGGGTGACCGGGAAGAAAGCACGTGCTGGAGCGTTGTAGCGGCCGAGGGCGCGTCTGTTATCGCCACGCCGCGCCCAGGTCTTGCGGAAGGTCCCCCGCGCGGCGTGTGGTGCGCGGAAGGCCCCGGGCGTCGCGGGACCCGGGCCGCGGGCTTCGGGCTCCTTGGTGCCTCCTGTGACCTCGGCCCCTGAGGTCGGCTCCCAGGCGCTGGCTGGCGTTGCTCTTGGCCGTGTTCTCCTGTGCAGAGTGCGACTCCCCGGCTTCGCCCTTGGCCTGCGGAGGAGGAGACTCGGCTGCATGTCGCCCGCGCTGCCAGAGCTGAAGCCTTCCGGTAACGCTGCCTCCAGCTCTCCGCGGTTGGGTTGTGTACTGAGTCCTGTTATGGGCTCCTAATCCCTGGGGTAATTCTCCTCGCCTCCTGGAGGCGCGCCGCCAGTTTTCCCCGCGGGCGGGAGGGCGGCAGCTTTGAGCTGGCGGAGGTTCCACGTGCTTCTGCTGGGTTCCTTCCGCACCTTCACCTCTTCCTCCCCAGGCAAGCGGATTCTCCGCAGCTATGAGGCGTCCTCTCTCTGCGCGCGCCCGAGACACCTCTTAATGTCAAAGTAACTTCGTTGTTGGGTACAACTTATTTCAGCGGGGCGCAGTGGAAATTTTTGCCAGAGTTAACGTTTTCAGTTCAATAAATATTTATTGAGCACCTGCTGTGCTCATCCAAAGAAAGTTTCTGTGTTGCAAGGCGGATAAGGAAACCCAGAGAACGATAAAACTTAAGGAAACGTTTCTTTTACCACATCAGGGTTAGAGCAGTCGTTCTGCACACTCCAGATTGCATAGAATCACTTTGTAAAATGAGCAGATAGTAGGTCGTGATGGGGAGTAGTAATCTCAAGCGATTCTAATGATGGCTCTGAGATTAATGTTGAGAAAAAACTAGGTTAGCTCAAGAACTGACAATAGTTTCAGCTTTATAATGAGATCGGTCTCTAAGGTCATCCTTGATTAAAATTTTTGGTCAAACATACCCATAAAAACACGGGAGGTATGAGGTAGGAAATGTAGAAAGAAGAGAACCAGTCCTAAGGATGGAGCAGTACCTGGGTGTGGGGAAATGAGGGTGTTTAGCATGGCAGGGGCTGAATACTGAATTCATAACTCAGAAGGAAATTTATCAGAGGTGAGCTGGTGACCCTGTTGATTCTAGGGTTCTGATATGGGACTGGTAAAATTGTTCTTGAAACCAGTGGAAATGTGACTGGGAAACATTTTATCACTGTTGGTATAAAAGAAGAGGTAGAGAGGCAGATCATACCGTTCTTTGAATAATATCTCTGCCTCATGACTGCTTGCTTTTCTATTTAATTAAGAAAGGAAATAACGTTATTTCACCTTCATCTAAATATATCAACAGCAGAATGCGTCAGCTAAATGGGGGCAATGCAGAGCTATATATTTTTGTTTCCACTGTGAGAGTTGTTGGGTAGAATCTGCCCTGTTAAGAACGTGGTTAGTCAGGAGTAAACTCTACAGAATGTTCTGTATGCAATGAACCGAATATAGATAAATAGGCTGTTTTGGTTATCATTGTTCTTCATGGAAGATCTCTGTGACTGCTCACCTTACCAAGGGAAAAAAGAAGAATTGTTAAGGTGACTTACTCTTAGGAGAAGCTTCTGGAGGGGCAACGGTGATTAGAAGCCAGTGAAAGATAACCCCCTGTTGGAAAAGCTTGGGGAATACATCAGGATAAGAACAATGAACATTAAACGAACAAATCTGGGAGGAGGACCTCTAAAAGGGAAATCTTATCCCCTACAGGATAAATAAGCATGTGGATGATGTAGAAGGGAATTTTTAAGGGCCTCAGTTGGGGGGAGTTTTGTCTTCAATGCATGCAATTCCCATTTTATTATTTCCCCTTTTATCTCATTTTCTGTTCACAGTTCTCATGGTCTCACAGGTGGCCTGGTTCCCATATCGCCATGTATTTGTATGTGTCCTTGTACTCTAGTGTGTGTATGTACTTTTAATTTATGTAAGTAGTATCTCGGTAGTAGATGATTGCTGACCCTTTCACGTAGTATCCCACCATTATCATATAGCAGTGCAGTGTTCCCCACGAATGTCTACCACATTTTACTTGGACATTTCCCAACGTTGTCTCCAACGTGCCACTCCTACAAACATGCCCTTCTGTGTTCCTGGTGGATCAACCTGAGATTTTGTTTGGGAAATACACCCGGGATTGAGGTTGCTGTGTTTTCTGCATGCTTACTTTTTACCAAGTTCTGCTAGGCTGCTCTCCAGAATGGCTCTGTCCAGCAGGCATACTGGAGGGTGCAGATTTCTTTGGCATTATCCCGTTTTTTAATTATTGTCCATCTGTTGGTTACAAATGGGTATCATCTTATTTTAATTCACATCCAGTCGCTAATGAGCTTGAGCATCTCTTTATATAGTTGCTGAGTATTATTTTCTTCTTCCTTGACTTGATTATTTGTATCTTTGTAGGACTTCCTTGTACATTATAGGTGTTAGTCCCTTTCAGTTTGAGACATTGCAGAATCTTCCTCCAATCCATAATCTGTTTGTTAATTTTGTCTATGGTAACTTTCATTTCATAGGAATCCTTAGTTTTTATGGAATCACATTTATATATATATATTTTTTTAATATTACAAGTTAGGCTTTTTGAATCTTAGGTCTTTTCCTATTCCAAGCAATGGAGATACTCTGTATTTTATTTTTCCTTTTTTATGGGAATATAGTTTTATGGTATATTTTGATATTTAGTGGGCCAAAGTTAATTTAGCATTTTCTGGGACTTCAGTCTTCCACACAGAGTATAGAATATGTTTGTTAAATTTCTAATAAAAAATCAGATGTTTTATTTAGAGCCTCTAAAAAAAGCTTTGATCTCTTGCATATATGATGACTCCTTTCACAAGATCTCAAAATTTGTATATGTGGGAGCTAGGTAGGTTGTTTTACAGTAACAACTGTATTAAAGACTGAAAATAGTTTCTATTTCTGGACTGAAAAGTGAATACAGTAGAGACCTTCTGGAAAAAATGCTTGGACTTTTTATGAAAATGGGAGGAGGAATGGAGGCATGTTCCACTATCAGAGCTGTAGAGGATACAGAAGTGCTCTTTCTTAAGGTCAGAGAGAGGGAAAAGCTTGAGCCAAGCTATAAGAGGATTATGAGGTGGAGGGTAGGGTGAATTTTGGAGCTCTGGGTAGAAGACTTCTTCTGACAGGGGTTAGTAGAAGTAGAATTTCCTACAGAAGGAGAAGGATTTGGAGCTAAAAGAGAGCAGGTTTGGGATGGCATACGTGGGCTGTGGTGAGGGTAGCCAAGAAAAGCCGAACCAAGGAGGGGGCTCTAGTCAGTGTCATTGAGGCTTTTAGTAGTTCTTAGAAACCTTCCGCACGCATCTTTTCCCCCTGGATTTTGAAAGTCGGATTTTTCACTTTCTTTAAAGCAGGTGTGAAGAAAAGCCTGCAGGATGAGATTGAAGCCATTCTTCGGGAGAGGATCATGGTGCTGGATGGAGGGATGGGGACCATGATCCAGCGGCATAAGCTAAGTGAAGAAGACTTCCGAGGTCAAGAATTTCAAGATCATGTCAGGCCCCTAAAAGGCAACAATGACATTTTAAGTATAACTCAACCCAACGTCATTTACCAGATCCATAAGGTACAGTACCGCCATGCCTCCTGTTCTCATGCTGTTATTCTGTAAGCCTCTTTGCATATCGAGGGCTCTGGAGGTTACAGAAGAAAGAGGTGTTTCGTTCACAAAGAAGGCTGTGGGCACTGAAGAAAGGCCTCACACTGCGATGAGCATTCAGGATAAGGAGGTGAGAAAGGTAGTTTTCCTGCCTTTGAGGCAGTTAAATGAAAGACCATAGAAATCCTGGACAAATTGGGCTTTTCACATACACTGCTTTACCTGAGTCACCACAGCAGCCCCGATAAAGTAAAACCAAAAAGGTGGTCGTTATTCTTATTTTGTGGATTTGGAAGTTGTGGCTCACAGAGGGTAAAGAACTTGTCTGACGTTTGGGAGCTTCCTGACGTGAAATCCCATGCTCTTTCATTCCATTTTCCTGTCTCCAATAAAAATGGTTAGCCAGCATGAATCAGGAAAAAATAACTGGGGGCAGTAGATTTTTAAAATTTAGAAAGAAACACAGAATGAAATTGTTTGGTAGGTCATCGCCAGAATTTCATAAAATTACAACCAGAAGAGCTACTGAGGTGATCGAATCTATTTTCTTGGTCTGGATTCAACTGGAAGGATAAAACATATTTACTAGTGAAGTGAGAAAGTTTTATTTTCTAGAGAAGGGCATTGTTATAGATGTTTCAGTCTCTTAAGGGAAAAAAAAATTCATCTAAACAAATCACTTTGTGATTAACGGATCCATCGAGAATGGAAGGGATCATTCTGTTGTGTGGTCAAGACTTTGTTCTAGGTTAATTGCAGAATGGCGTTCATGTGAAGGAAAGCTAAGAATGCCTTTCCTTTGCTCATTATGGGAATTCCAGGTACCAGAAGATTTAAAATTGATCCTTAAAAAGGTATGGTTCTGTAAGAAGAATGGTAACTAAATTTTTCTGCGAGGCCTTGAGAGTAGTAAATCCTATTATAAAATCTAGTCTGTTGTAGATTGGGAATATCATCATTGATATGAATGGCCTGGTATGGTTACAAATACACTTTTTAAAAATTTTATTTATTTATTTATTTGAGACAGCATAAACGGGAAGCAGCAGGCAGAGGGAGAGGGAGAAGTAGGCTCCTCGCTGATCAAGGAGCCTGATGCTGGGCTCTATCCTAGGACACAGCAATCATGACCTGAGTGGAAGGCAGTTGCTTACTTGACTGAGCCACCTAGGTGCCCCACAAATAAACTTCTTACAATGGAGCTGTTGAAATCACATGAACTGTTGTACCCTTAGCTTCATCATTTTGTTCCTGTGGATTACCACTAGATTATAAGCTTCTGCAGGGCAAGAATTTATGCCTCTTTTTTCACTACTGAAGCCCTACTGCCTAGAACGTTATCTCCCACATAGGAAGTGCTCAATAAATATTTGTTAGAGGAAAGATTGCTTGCCCTGTGTATTAGGTAGGCATCTAGATGGAAGACCGAGGTTCCCACGATAGGTCTGTGGAGTGAAAATGGCTGTAAGTACAACAAAGTGTGCCGGGGTGTCCCGTTTATGGGGGCGCATTTACTAGCCAGACATGTGGAGAGCGTGTTGTATTCATGGATGAAGAAGGGAAACAGACCAGGTTTTTTTCACATGTGGTTATTTCTGGTCGAGCCAGTGACCATAGATCAGATCCTCTGATGTATAATTTTAACAGAATGTCCAAGTTATATTTGTAATATAGGTGCCTGGCAGTAAGCTGCTTTGGGTCGTAGCGTGAATGCCTGACATTGAGCTTTTGGTTGCCAAGATCTGCATTTCAGGAGACATCTGTCTCTAATTAAACATGGTGCTGCTACTCGCTGAACAACTTGATACCTGATGGCCCTCACTCATGAGTTCTGCTCTTGGGGAGCCCTGGATGAGCCCGACAACTGCCTGGCCCCATTTTTCCCTTTCTACACCCTGGTTCCCACTCTTATGTTTTAAATTTGGCAGTAAAGAGTGAAACTGTGAAACCCTAGGTGCCCCATCCTTGTTCCCCCAGAAAGGCAGAACCCTATGTCTGTGCTCACTCCCGTGCCCATCTGCCCCCCCGCCCCTTGAAGTGTGGCTCTGGGCATGCCTGTACCCTCCAGGACTTGTGAGTAATACACTGTTTTCTCCCCGAAGTTCCCTATGGTTATAGCTGAGATGCCACGAGGGCTGGTGTCCTCACATCTTGGGCTCTGCTGGGGAAACGTTTGTGGGAGCTTGCCGCCAGGATATGGGTGAGCGCCGCAGGCAGTCCTTGCCCACAGCATTGCCCCACGAAACACAATTCAGAACCTCTGTTAGCCTCTAAAAATGCTGTTCTTCCTGGCCTCCTTTCCTCCTGACAGCTTGCTCTGTGAGGAGTGGAGAAATTCAGTAGCTTGACTCAGGTCATAACGTTTTTGTTTTTTATTTTTTTAAAGATTTTGTTTATTTATTTCACAGAGATCACAAGTAGGCAGAGAGGGGGAAACAGGCTGCCCGTGAGCAGAGAGCCTGATGTGGGGCTTGATTCCAGGACCCTGAGATCATGACCCGAGCCTAGGGCAGAGGCCTAACCCACTGAGACACCCAGGTGCCCCAGATCACATGTTTTTTAAATTGGCAGGAATAGGATTGGAATCGAGGGACGTCCTGCCTGGAGTCCAGGAGTGGGATATTGAGCTAGGAGAAGAGGCATAGGGAGAGGGTGAAGAGCTATAAGAAACACCTTCTAAACTGTATATTATGGAAATTTTCAAATCTACACCAAATTGGAGAGAACTGTGAACTGAGAAATTTTTTTGCTAACTGTAAAGACAATACATGTTTATTGTTTAAAAAAAAAAGATAGTATAGAAAACCATAAAGGAGAAAATCAAAACCAGGAGATATCAATACCAAGACTAACTATTAATCACATATTTTAAGTTATATTTTAATCTAGTTTTTATAGTGGGATCTTAAAAATTAAATTTTAATTATATTCGTACTGTTGTATGATTTGCATTTTTATCTGTATACAGGAGTATTGAATATTCTCAAACAAGGTTTAATAACTTCATGATATAACCTACATATGTATTATTAATTACTTAACTAGTTTACTTATTCCTAGGCATTAATGTTGTTTCCAGTTTTTCTTGCTCTTTTTTGAAAAATTTAATTTGCTCTCATAAGACCAAACCCATAGATTGAGAATAAATTCACTTTTTTTTTTTAAAGACTTTATTTATTTGACAGAGAGAGAGATCACAAGTAGGCAGAGCAGCAGGCAGAGAGAGGAGAAGCTGAGCTTCTCTCCCTGCTGAGCAGGGAGCCCAATGTGGGGCTCTATCCCAGGATCCTGAGATCATGACCTGAGCTGAGGGCAGAAGCTTAACCCACTGAGCCATCCGGGTGCCCCGAGAATAAATTCATTTTTGACCACTATTCCAAATTTCTTTTTTTTTTCTCCTGAGATAACCACTTACTCCTATATGTCTTTCCACATCAATTTGTTAGGCATTTATGTATATATGTGCGAAAACGCATACTGTTGTGTGCATGTATGCTTTAAACTTAATGTGTCCTGTTTTACATATCGGTCAGTTTTGCTTTCTACTCAGGCCTATTTTTGGAGATCTTTCCATGTCAATATCCGTAGATATACATGGTGTTTTTAGCCGCCACAAAGCATGTTATAAAATGGATACATTCTAGCTTATTTGTTTTTTTTCCAACTGGTGGATATTTCGGATGTTTGTGACTTACTATAAGTGAGAAATTCACTTCCCAGCTCCTTGTCAAGAGTGTGTATCAGTTAGGGAGGGGGTGGGTTTGCTTACTGTTGGGAAAAATCAGGGGAGTTGAGAGATTCCAGAGTGTTCCTCAGATTGAGGATGAAGAAGTGTCGTCCCCAAAGCGTGAAGTGGGGAAAGCGGGTTTTGAACCAGGAGGACAGCAAGGCGCCGAGAGCCTCCGGGTCCTAGAAGGAGTGCCCGTCTGGCTCAGAGGGACCTGCAGAGAGGGACTGAAACAATCATGGGCAGAGCTGGGCTCTCAGAGATCGAGCCGTCACCGGTGGGAATCGAACTGTGCTGAGGCTGGAGAGGGCTGTCCTGGGCCAGAACTCGTGTCATCACACAGCCACCCCGTGGAGTTGCGTTCTGGTACTTTCCATGAGGCAACGAAAACTTGGGGTTTAAGGAACTTCATTCCGTTCACCCCGCTTAGCATGGGAACTGTGTCCGCATCGAGCTCTGCGCTTGTTTACACCACGTCCCTCTCTGTCGGGTCCTTGTATCTTTTTGCGTCTCTGGGCTCCGGGGCAGTGGCTCGCTTAGTGGGTGGTCACACGGTGTTTGGGTGGTGGTGGTGAGCAGAGGTGTTTATTGCGGGGGGACAGGGCCTCTGAAACCCCGAGCACTGACGTTGCTACCTCTTGTTGCAGGATTACTTGCTGGCTGGGGCAGATATCGTTGAAACAAACACTTTCAGCAGCACTAGCATTGCCCAAGCTGACTATGGCCTCGAACACTTGGTAAGAATGCCATTGTTCCTCGCAGCTAAGGTCTTCCTGGGCCCTTTCTGCCAAGACAGTTGCTAGTGAGAAAACCAGCCGAAGCTGCAGAGTGCAGCTGATGCCTCGCTGTCTGTTGCTTGTGGTCGGGCTGGGAAGACGCTTTGAATCTTTTCTGCTTTTAAACACAGCAGACTGTTCATTTCCTAACTGGTGTCTTTTATGGGCCAGTAATCAAGTAAAAATGATACCTATTATGCAGTGGTTGCTGATAAAGGCACAGTGATTGGCTGTGTGGGCACCCTTTTTCTGCCCTGCAAGGCAGATTCGGTTCTTTTTTTAAATCATGGCAAAAAGCACATGTAATGTAAAATTGACCATCTTAGCCATTTTTATGTACGGTTCAGTGGGATTAGATACATTCATCTTACTGGGCAACCATTGCCACCGTCCATCTCCAGAACTCTTGTCATCTTGTAGAACTGAAGGTCTGTACCCATTACATTCAGTAGTAACTCCCTGTTCTTCCCTAACCTCTCTGGACCCCGAAATCCACCACTGTACTTTCTTTCTCTACGAATTTGTCTCCTATAGCTACTCCATGTAAGTGGAATCATATAGCTTTTGTCCTTTTATGACTCTTAGCTTAAATGTTTTCAAGGTTCACTCATGTCGTAGCAAGTGTCAGAATTTCCTTTTTAAGGTTGAATAATGTTCCCCTGTATGTACGTATATGTGTGTGTGTATATGTGTATGTGTGTGTGTATATATATACACACACACATACACAT